GGTATGCCCTTTAATGAACTGTGCAGCATGTTTGACTCAGCAGCGCTCCATGGAGTGGTCCTGCTTTTTGGGATTAGAAGGGTTTTAGTCCGCCATTGAAGTGTTGGAGAGCAGAGGCTGACCTCTTTTTGAAACAAAATCGATTCATTTCCAACTGTTTGCTTGGTTTTTACAATGTATTTTACAGGGAATTCTTTTTATAATGATATATCATGCATTTTATAGTATGTTTCCCTCAGTCCGGTCGAACATTTATGTGATTTGTTTGATTTATTTCTTTAAAAAAATACTTTATCAGACTTTTTTCTTTGTATCTTTGGTCAATTGGTTTTAGGACCAGGAAAGAGATGACATCAATGAAAATGGACAAGCTGTTATTAGAGCTGTTGGTCCTGCTGGGGTGAGGAAATTCAAAACATGTATCACACTGACATACGGAACACAGTTAAACCACACAATTGTATAGTGCAAACTATACATGGTACATAGACATAATTATTGTTATCATGAAGTACATTTCTATAATGAAAAATACAGTGAAAGCAAATATTTACTAAATTTATATTTTTTCTCATCATCAGATATTCTGTCATACTGCATGGGACTGAGATCAGGCCTCTGTAACATCCAATCCAAAAACATTGCTTTGTTCTCCTTGGACCATTTTTTGAATGATTTAGCTGTATGATTTCTCTGTTTGTTCTCTACTTTATTGCGCATTTGGATGAGCTGAACTCTTGATATGTTGCTACTTTTATGGAGCTTGTTGTGAACACTTAAATTTTAGTACTACCCGTCCTATCTGTCCGTTTGTCTAACTGAACTACTGCTGGTGTTCCCAAATGTGAGAACAGGCTCCAATCAGAGAAAAAAGTTTTTTTGTCTGTTTTGTATTGGATTTTTTTTTTTCCTGTGGGCGTCTCCCAACTCTCCTGTTTACAGGCCTTTTTCCAGTTTTTTTTTATTTCTGAGATATTTAACTACCTTACCACTATGATGAGTAAGTATATTAAATGTTCATGATGCTCAGAAGAAGTTCCAACCTGGTTTTTCATCAACAGCTAGACAGTATCTCTACTTGAGGTCAAAAGTATCCTTCCTCAAGCAATGTTGGTTTATCCAACTTTGGTCCTTTCTGGCACACTGGTTTGACCCCATTTACAATAAATCTACCAAATATAAATAAGAAGAATACATCTCAACCATACAGTACCTAGTCTTTGTCTCAGCGTAAAATCCAGTTGTTTTGTACTTTGGACAGAGTTCAAGATTTTTGAAGACTATGAAACAAGTCACCTGAAGGTGGTTGAGGGATCTGATGTGGATCTTTTCTGGGGAAATGTGTCTAGTAATATCCTAACAGAGTTAGACATCTCTTTAACTGTGAATATATCGGGATTAAATTTATAGATGGATGCACTAACATGTTCAAAACGTTATCATGTTCATAGAAAAAGAGCAAGTAAAGATTTGCTTAATTTTCTGAGTCTTATTACGCTTTACACTAATTAATGGTTTGCTATTCCCCGACAGTGTAGTAATCTAATTTAATGTTGTTTCTAGAGTCGTTGGGTTTAGTTTTGGTGCAATCCAAAGGCCTGATTATGATGACACTCCAAACCCGGAGTTCCTCAACGCATCCTGGATGGCCAGCATCCCTGATGATCAGCCATTGTCTGCAATCACAATGCCAGGAACACACAACACCATGGCCCTGTATGGCGGAGTTTATGCAGAGTGTCAGACATGGACCTTGGCCTCCCAACTTCGAGCTGGTGTTCGTTTTCTAGATGTCCGTGTGCGTCACGTCGACGGGAATCTGACCATCCACCATGGGGTGTCCTACCAGTGGGCTCATTTCGGACATGTACTAGAGGGTGTGGTTGACTTCCTGCATGAATATCCAAGTGAGACTGTTTTGATGCGGTTAAAAGAGGAATTCAGTGAGACAAATGACATATACAGTGCTGTGGTAGATTTCATCCATCGCTATGCTTACTGGGACCTGATATGGCACAGCAGAATGGTACCCACTATGGGTGAGGCCCGAGGGAAGCTCATCATTCTGCAGGACTTTACTGGTCCAGATTTGGGAATGCGCTACGGTTCCCTGGATATAGCCGATGCCTGGAAGGTATGAGAAGTTAATGTTGTTTTGTTTCAGCAACAATCAAACTGTAGCTGTTAGGATATATAATAATGCTCAGTCAAAGTAAATGTGTTAAAACGGATGGTGAATTTATGCAATCAAACTGAAGTTTCAAGAATCTTATAAAAGTAAATAATTTATATTTTAAAAAATATGTACACTGTAAGCTGGGTCATGATAGTATTAAAACGGTAAAACTTTTGTAATGTAACTTTACTGTTACCTGCAGGTACCAACCCTGCTGTATTTGGAGGAGAAATGGCAGAGTGTCTACAAACATCTGGAGGCTGCACCATCGGGAAATATGGATCAGATTTTTCTAACCTATGCCAGTGGAGCTGGCGTGTTTGCCCACCCCAGAGCTGTTGCACAGGGAATCAACCCACAGCTGTATGAGTACCTGCAGGCTAAGACAAACCAGAACCAGCGCCTCGGAATCATATGCATGGATTTCCCTGCTGCTCCTATGATCCAAACCATTATTGATTTCCAACTAAAAGAGGTTGTAAAAAACAGCAAAATGGATGTGAAGCATGCATCTTTTTTAGTCAGACAGATGATCAAACAATTTGCTGCCAAGAATTGACCTGTATTTTAATGACCCAGAACTTTACGAAAATTTGGTTAAATTTAAAAAAAATCAGCCAAGAGAAATAATTTGACTTTTTAGCCAATGATTTAAAGCTAACCTGTTTTCATACATCATTGTTTAGAAAATGAAAGTTGCAAAACAGGACTACTTTAATACAAAAGGAAATATTGAGTTTAAAGCCTTTGTTTTAAACAAAATTATTACGTTTTTTTAAATTGTTAAAATGGAAAATGCAAACTTCCTGACTAATAAATGAAATGGTTTAAGCTATATTTGTTTATAGCTCTTCTTATTTACTCATCTGAATGTGAGACTGGGTTGCACCTTAACTTTAATCTGCTGCCACCAGATGGCAGATATTCTGAAAAAAGTCTCCATCTATGGTTGCTTTAAGGCTTTATAGAAAATGTGGCACATGAACCATTTATCATACTCTTTTAACATTATACTTATGCACCATTTTCTGGTGGCCAAGCTCACAAAATCCTAAAACAACAAATAAAAAAGCAAGCAAAAACACTGTTTTTCAGTCAATGCAGTGCCATAATTGATCTTAAATGGTCATGATTTATTAATTACCCAGATGAAAATACAATACAGGGTGTGTTGGAAGAAAAAAAAAAAACAGATTTTCCCCTTTAAATAATGATCCATACCCCATTAACTGTCATGTCCCTTCCACAGGACATACACTCTTAGATAAAATTTGTTGGTAGCCCTATACTGAAAAAAACCCTACAATGATCACAGAAATAAGTTGAATCTGACAAAAGTAATATTAAATGGCCTGTAATTATATAGCACAATTTAAAGTCAGAGGAATTGACCAAAGCGCTTTACACTACATTCAATCATTCACAGATTCACACATAAACCCACACACTGATGGTGGCAAGCTACACCACCAGTCCCTCCGACCACCATCAGCAGGAAATGCACGTGAAGTGTCCTGCCTAAAAACACAACAACACTGAACGCCATAGCCTTGAACCAACAACACCTCCGACAAACCTCCGGTTGCAAGGCAAACCTACTTCATAATAGAATGGCATATATATATATGGGGGGTGCTTTCAGGGTTCTGCCCTCTGTTTTAGTTTATTTTTCGTTTCTTGGTTATTCTGTATTTATTGTACAGTTATTCTGTATTTCTTGAGTTACTCTCTGTTGCCCCCTTGTGGCTGTTCCTTCCCACTTGGCTCTTTTGTAGGCACTTCTTTTCACACCTGCTCCGTATGAGCTCATTAGCCCATCCTATGTTATGTTCCCCATATACTATATATATATATATATATATATATATATATATATATATATATATATATATATATATATATATATATATATATATATATATATATATATATATATATATATATATATATATATATATATATATATATATACTCCACCTCTGCAGTTCTTGTTTGCTGGTTTCTTGTTGTTGTTTTGTTGCTTTCCCCGTCTCTTGCTTCCCATGTGGATTTTCCCTGACGTTCAATGGATTTTTGGTTTTTAGTATTCTTCGTTTTCAGTTGCCTGTTTTTCTTTTTCTTTACTTAAATCAGTAAAACAAACAGTTTTCTATTCAGATTGAGAGGCTGGCTTAAGATGTGACCCCGGCGCTCACTGAGTGTGTGTGGGCTCCCTATGAATATGGGCTCCTATGAATACATCTCTGAATTTGGGTCCTCAAAGCCTCCCCCCAACCTGACAGATATTTTGTGTAATTCAAGAAATCCAGAAGGAAGACTATAAACAAGAGCATTCAAAGAATCTCAGTATTGGCCTTCCCCATTAGTTATGCTTCTGATTATATCTGAGACGTTGCGTTAAACCTTCTGCTGTTTTTTTGTTGTTTTTTTCCCCCCCTAATGTCTCAATACTGGGTGGCACTCTTTCTAATGGTTGTTTTTTTTAACCTTTTAAAAGACAGAAGTTAATAAAAATCCTCCAAACAGTGGTGTAGTCAGATGTTTATTCTGGTGCCTTTATATTAGTAGACAGATATTTGCTAAACTGAATAGTTTAATACATAGAAAGTATAATTTATTCAAGTGTCCCATTATTTTCTTGTTGGCTTAAAGCCCTGTGTTTACACTAAGAGGGTTTTACACTTGTTGAAATATCTAACTGCATAAATTCTGAACCTTGTTTTGAAAAAAGTCTGATTCGCAGAAGAAATGAACACCTCCATAGGAGAGGCTGGTGGTTAAAAATAAAGCAATATTTTGTGTGTCAGTTGTTTGCATCAGATGAGTTGCAGATTTTATCAAATTTCCTCTAAGAAGTAAAAGCTGTTGCAAAAGAGGTTGAATGTCTTCAACCAAATGACTTAACATCCTGTTTAAACTGCAAACAGCGTCCGCAAAGTTGTCGGTTAGTTAAGGGCAACTCATGTAGGAGTCTTAATTCAGAAGGAAAAAGAAGTTTAAAGGTTTCTTTTATGTTAAAACCCATTATCTGCAGCTTCTATTTGCTTGATTGAAATTTAATTTTAAAAGATGGACTCAAGACCTCAAAGTGCCGGATTAATTGCAATAATTGGTGAGATATTTTTCTGTTTATTACAATTTTGACATTAAATTTAAGTTTCTTAAACCTTTGCCTCTTTCTTTCTGTAGCTGTGATGAACATTATTTGGTGGATGGTGATGATAGCAGCCATTGGACTGGGTGGGTTAACTTTTATACATCAACTTAAAATTCTGAGGCATCATGAGTTTAAGTGATTTATTGGCTGTGCAGGTGCCACACATATGGACCGCTGTCCCCAGCAGCCCAAAATCCCTGTTTACCTGATCGTGCTTGGAGCAACAAGCCTCCTATCTCTGATTTTCACCTACAGCAGCAGTGGCTACCAAGACGGAGCCGTTCACATCCTGAGCGTGGTCTGCATGACTTTCCTGCACATCTTTAGTTTTGCGTGGCTGATAGCAGGTGTGAAAAAGTTTTAACTCTTTGCATTCAAGCACTTTCTGATTTACTGAAAATTTTGATAATAGAAACACGCTGGTGTAATTTGGCAATAAGATCAAAGGAAATGATTAGTGTTACCAGTTTGGATAAAAACTAAAAAGCCTAACTTATGCCAAACATAGGCTTAAAATCAGCCTTTCAAAAACAGTTTCTGTGTTTTCATTTTTTTTTGTCAAAAAAACAGGAAAAAATATGATGTGATGCACAGGAACTGCTGGTTACTTTTAAATTAGGACTAGAAATATTACAGCTTTTTTCCTTTAAGATCAAGTGCAAAGTCATCAGTTTCTTTAGTACAAAGCAATTTTCAGTTTGTATTTTAACATTTAAATCTAAAAGTATTCATAGGGTTTTATTGTTAAGAGTTTATTGTTATTTCAAAATTGCTAATTTATGATTTTTTCTTTTATATTAGTTACAGACATAATATGTACAGCAATTAAAGATTCATACATGGTATCTTCTTGTGCTCTTTCTGTAGGCTCGTCATGGGTTTATTCAATTTACCCTCCAAACTACAGTGAAAAGGACCAATACTGCCATAAAACGACCTACCAATTTGCATTTGTTGTAACCACACTCCTGTGGGTCGCCATGATCTTGGTGATCCTCTGCAGCTGCTGCTTCGCTCTCCTAACCTGCTGCACCACTGTAGTTGCAGGACGCCACTTGTTACCAGACCGCAAAAGCTTCTATGGTGCAACAAGTTTTCATGAACCAGCAACGGGGGATGTGTAATTGAAATTTTGGTTCTTGTGTTAAGATAGTAGAGGAAGTTATTCTTACACTGCTAACAGTGTAGAGTTTAGTCTTTCTGTTGACACCTCCCTGTGTTTCCCTGACATTATTAAAGCTTACACACTAGGTAGAACATGTAGCTTTAGCTAGAAATCCCTCTTATACTTTACATTTAATTATTTTTGTTCGTTATTTTCTAAAATAGACATATTCATGATGCATGAAAATATTTTTGCTTCACAGCTTAAATTCTCAAAGCAGTTTAGTATCAGTGATTGTTTTGCAGGCTCAGTTCAACTGGTTGCACCAGAGCTGATTAGATTGTTTCCTGTTATAACCAAATGAAGATAAGGCATCCGCTAGCACATACATTCAGTATGAATTTGAAATGTAAGTAATCAAAAAGACAAGGCTATGTGCTAAGACTGAGCTCTGAACCTCAAATTTACTATATCAAGTTGAGTTTTTACTTCTATGTTTTCTTGTATACTGATAAGTGCCTGATTACATATTTCTAGCTCTATTCTGAACCTAATTTACTTTTCTATCCATATGGCTCACAAATGACTGTTCAATACCCATTTTCATCTGAATTACTATTATTTTGTTTTTGTTTTAACGTCTCTGAAACCTGTGTAGTATTTACTGGAATCATGGGTTCTTTCTTTCACAATGCAATGTTTTTTTCCGTTGGTGTAAAAAATAGTAGCGTGTAGGAATATGACTTTAAAATGACAAAGAAATACGTAAGATTGAATGATAAATGTTTATTAATTTTTTTTTTTTATATTAATGAATTTCCATTACAATGTTGACAAAAGAAAACAATAAGTTCTTAATAAGATAAAAAGAGATCAACTTTGAAGAATAATTACATTTAAGTATCCTCCAGGTCTGGGTAAGTATGTTAAATCAATCAAAAATTACATCCATCCATGCTTGGTTTTGAAAACCTGAAGTTAATATAAATATTGTTCTGTATTTTGCATAGATTTTATTTGCACATGGATTAAAATGAACAAAAAACTCATCAAATTTTTTTTGAGTCCAATAAATTGTGTAATTTGGACATAAATCATCCTCCACCTTCCATTGAAAACATCACTGGGGTATGAAAAGCAGACACTAGATCTTGCCTAATTAAGAGGTCTCTTTATTTTAAATTACTAAGTAAATATGTTGATAGATAAAATTGGATAAAAGAAGGGTGTTATTAAATAAAAAAATAAAACATACAAGCTTAAGGTATTGTTTTGAATCAATAGTATTTATAATATTAGATAAAGATACAGTATTCATTTATTATTATATATGGTATATAACAGTACAGCAGGTAAACATATTAGCTAGAATACAGCAATTTTGTTCTATAGTCTATACTAGTAGGTAGCAGTAATGCGCAATCAACATTTTTGCAAAGCGCCATTGAACCTCACAAATAAGATTTATCTGTAGTACAAAATCTTATGTTAAATCTTTAGAATTTGTAAGAACAAAAGGTGCTAGTAATTTTCTTTCTTTCGTGAGTAAATTTGATCTGCTTGTTTAACGCCCTGTTCTTGAATCTATGTATAATATAATGTTGCCCCTTTATTTTTATTTTTACCGTTATTATTGTTCCCTCTCTGTTTATATTTGGTTTTCTTCTGTATTAAGATATGCTTTTTGCACTTTCTGTGAATGCAATTAATGCAGTTCTGTACTGGTATCTGGTGTGATGTACATTGGTTAAATATTTTTTTTTTTTTTGGAAAAAAAATGTATCTGTAGTACATTTTCCAGTACGCTAGGTGGCGATAGACACATTGATGGAGCGTTTTGCGGCATGTCAGTTGAAGTGGGAGCTCTCGTGGCTGTAGCTAACAGAGCATAGCTTGTTTTATAAATTTGGGTTGTCGGTTGTGGATAAGAGCTCCGGGGTGAAGCTCGGAGGAAGCTCTGTATCGGTGAGGTTTGTGGCAGCGCTGATCTGCGGGGTTGAACCAACATGTGGAGCTGTAGCCGCTTCGTCCTTCAGGATCTGCTCAGACAGTCTGCTGTCAGGAGCTTTTCTCTGACTCCTGCACAGGTCAGTGCCACACTGTTGTTTTTAAATAAAGATCTCAGATCAAACAAATATCTTACAGCTAAACCTCTGCTGCCTTTATCAATGCAAAAGCATAAATCAGACTTTTATGAGCTCCTCAGTTGTTCTAGATCCCAGATTTCTGACTTTTCCCTTGTCTTTAAATAGCAATATTTAGATGGATTTGACTTTGTTACTGATTTACCTGTTTTTTTTTAAACCTAGTTCTAGTACTTGTTCTAAACCTCCCACCAAAAATTTCCTTTACTCTTGTGAGAAAATGAAATTACTAGAATAGATTACAATGGAGGATCCCTTTATTGTTACACAATGGGGAAATTCTGGTGTTTACAGCAGCAAAAAGATTATATGATAAATTGTTACACAAATGTTGACCTTAGAAAAATGTATAAGAATAACAATATAGTGAAGAGCTAAAAGATAAACAATAAAATAATGCACTTTAAAGTGTTTTAACAATATAAAACTGTGCACCAATAACTAATATACAGCTATGGACTTTATTACAGTAATGGATATTTGAAAATAGCAGCAACATCAGAGATGTGTAAAATAAAAGCAGCATGTTATTTAACTGACTAAGGTAGAAACTGTGCAAAATCAGCATGAATGTAACTTATTGAGTTTGTTGGGAACAGTGATGGTTATAGAGTCTTCCAGCTGCTGGTTGGAAGGATCTGTGATAACGCTCCCTGGTGCATTTAGGGTGCAGCAGGCTGTCATCCTAAATGCATTATTATAAGAAAACAAGCTTAATCTTAAATCTTAAAATTCTGAGACTGTGAAATGTTTATCAAAATAAAAATAATCCTGTGATCTTGTAATCTCAACATTGAGCTTTTAAAAATATTTATCTTAATTTTCACATTGTGACTAATAAAACAAGATCACTCTGTGGGCATTTTAAGACAATATGATGAAATGATTACAGCAAGATAATGAAACTGCCGTGAAGCACAGGTTCTAAACCAAAAACAAACCTCTATGCATGGCATTTGGTTTTTAAGGTTTATTGATTGGAAACCAATCTGGACACTTGTGTGAATCCAGGTTTATATCCTTTTGGTGATCTTGGCTCAGGCGGTATTATTAAATATAGGAACATTTTGGAGCTTTAGATTTTTAAACCCGCACTACTTTACCCCAAATTATATATATTTGTTTTATTGTATAAAATTTGTACTAGGAATTAAAAGCCTGAATTAGGGAAAGTTCTGAATTTTATGTTATTAATCTTAGTGCTTATTTCTCTATGCTGATTTACTATTTAAATTCAGGATATGGTCCAATGTCTTTATCCTTGCATCATGACAAACAGTTAGTGATTTAGATATTTTCCCAGCACACTGTTGTCGTGGAGCGTTGGTGGCAGGTCCCGCTGTCGAAAGAGGGAAGTCCGCCGAGGCTTTACCCCCGAAGACACCGTATCTACAAGGTGGTGGAGGACACAAAACATGCTCCCAAGGAGAAGATGGAGCTCATTCTGACTCAAACTGTGGCAAGTGAGTATCTATTAGGGCTGCGTATTTTCGCCAAAGTCCTGAATCGATTCGATTTTGATTCATACAGTTCTAAATGGATTGATTTCAATTCGATCTGTTTTTACAATAATGAAAGTGGTTCATATGTGTTTCAGAATACTCATGTATTTTATTTTTTCCTGTCATATTAAACACAAAGTGCAAACTTGTAAAACAGACAGTTTAAAATTGAGATGTGAACAAAACTGTCTCAAAAGTGCAAACTTGTTTGTGAAAAGTGAAATAGCCTCACTCGAGCAAACAGACGTGACACAGCAGACATGCATGAGCTGCATTATCATCACTGCACAGACCATATTTGCAGCATTGTCTGTAACAACTACAGGGTGTTTGCTGGTCAGCCTAGATTTGTTAATGTCTTCCATCAACCTATTAGCTATATTTGCAGCTGTCTGGCTTGAAGTATTTTGAGTGCATCTTTCCTGCTCATTTGAATGTGAATGTCATGCATGTCACTATAAAACTAATCGATCTCATTCCCTAGACATCGATTTTGCAAAAATGTAAAGGAATCGATTCAAAATCGATTAAATTGATGTTTTTTACCCAGCCCTAGTATCTATCATCCTCTTGTTGGTTTTAAATTACCTGTAAAAAGTCACAAATCACATTAAAACCTTTTCTTTGCATTCGGAATAACAGAACTCGGTGGAAGAGGTGATACAGTGTATGTGAGGAAGTCTGTCGGGCGGAACAAGCTGCTTGCCCAAGGCCTTGCAGTGTATCCATCACCAGAGAACAAACAGATGTTTGCTGAGGAGCTAAGAGTGCGTACCACATGATTTATTTTTACTAAAAACGTTAAACACTCAGATACAGCTCTTCATTGTTATGTTTTATTGTAACCCAGCTTTTACGCGAGGGCAAACCAGACCAGAGGTTACAAACCAGAACGGGACAACTGGTGAGTTTACTAGCATATATCACTCGTTTTCAGAGTTGTTCCTGCTCCTGTGGTTCCACTCTGACTGAAAACCAATGGGATGTGAAATGTAAAAAACGACTAATGGCTATAAGCTTGTACTAAATGCCCTCTCTTGTTTTCACAGACGGTTGACCTTCTTAAACACTCCAAGCTCAATATCATCAAAATGCCTTCAGATGAATTCCAGCTCACTAAAGAAGTCGTCAGCAGACAGTTTGAGAAAAAGGTTTGTCTGCTGTTTCTTTTTTTTTTTTTTGAGTGGGGAATGCATCCCCATATGAGCATTGTTAAATATTTAAAAGGGGATGTTAAAGTGAACTGATCTGCCATGTAGCAGTATAATTTAACCCTGACATATTTAGAAAGATATAATTTTTTATTTCATTACATTATAAATCCAACATGGCACCCCCTGCTGGTAATACCGCATACTTTTAGTGGCTTAACGATACGTCAGCCATTTTTATATACCGTAAATTCTCTAATATTGGCCTGTATTCCAATAGCGGCCGGGTCTCTAATAATGGCCGGTCTCGCTGTCAGAGGAGGTAAATAATGGCCGGTCTCTAATACAGGCCGGGGCTATAAACGTTTTTTCTGGGCATACCTCAACATTATACTTGTGGTAGTAAGTAACATACAAGTACCACAGCCCTGCGCAACTGGACGACAGCCGACAGGCCCTGACTGCTGCCCGTCTGCGCGAGGAAGAGAACAGACACGCAGCAGAACAGGAGGAGCGCGAGTGATGAGGAGATTAAAGGGAGAGATGAAGAGGAGGAGAAAAACTGAGGAGGAGAATTAAACAGAATTGGAGGATTTTTTTTTTTTTTTTTTACTTCAAACCAAGCGAGACATGGCAACTGTACTTTTTCAATAAATGAACCTAGTGTTTTATAGGTTCAAATAGACACAAAATCTCAATTTTATTCATTCCACTGGTAGTCTGTTTTGCTCAAATAGCAATAGAGGCCTGTCTCTAATTCTGGCCTCTATCCAATAAAGGCCTGGACCGCGATGCACTTGAGTGAAATAAAGGCCCGGGCCTATATTAGAGGATTTACGGTAATTAAATAAAAAATGCCACCGTTAACTTTCATTTCTGGGAAAGTATTTTTGTTAAACCGAAAAAAAAAATTCTCGTTTTTTAATGATGTTTGCAAATATTTCCTCAGCTGGGAGTTGTCGTTCCACCTCAGGCATTGACTCTGCCTTTTGAGCCAATAAAGGACGTGGGCGACTACTGGTGTGAAATTACAGTATGTATTTCTCCCTCTCATTGGCTAAATTCAGTTTTTCTAACTAAATTGAAACACATTTTAAGCTGTTTATTTTCATCAAACAAGATCACATCAAAAGCATTCCTTTGTGCATATTAAGCATTTTCTGTACTTCTACTTTCGTAGCAGCTTCTGCATGGTTGACCTTTTTTAAAATGACACCAGTGGTTGTGCTTACTTTGTCTGCAAATGTCTTCCAGGTGAATGGAATTGACACAGTTCGCATCCCCATGTCCCTGTTACCACACGAAGATCAGTCTGCGACCTCCCAGAAGCAGAGAAAGGCACAACGGAAGCTGCAGGAGGCTGATCTTGCCTCACAGGCCGCCGCCGAGGAGGATGGCATTTTAAAATCCATTTCTGAGACAGAGGAAGCAGAGGACGCCAAAAACTCTGAGACATTGACTGCCCACACCCAGCAGGGATCAACACCAAGTGATAACTCAAATGAAAAGTAACAGACTTCTGAATAATTAAGTAAATATCAAGCTGATGTTTTTTGTATTACTAAATAAAAACACAATATGTATCAATAACTCTGAGAAGTGACCTTAATCCCACTTTGGAATTGGTACGTTTGCTTGTTTAAAACAGAAGTTTATTTGCAATACAGTGAGAACTTTGCTATTAATAATAAACTGTGTTACAGTTTAGGTCAGATGTTGGTGTTTGTTCTTCTTTGGTGTTTTTTTCTAATATTTAAGGCTTTTTATAATCTTTTTGCAGGGTTGGATCATTATACAATGATACAGTATCGATTCATACATAGGGTATAAGTTCATACTTGAACTTAAACCCTATGTTGGTCTGTTTCACTGCTTCAAAACAAGTGTCTTGGGTCATTGTTCTGTTAAAGCACACTTTATGCCCAAAATTTAACCAATAGACTCAAAACAGTCATCCTCAGATGAAGAACAACTGATCCAGGATGTTCAGGTACAACCGAGGCTGAAGCTTGACGTCCACTATACTGGTTTCACTGAAGCCATATTGTTCCCTTAAATTTGATGGTGACTTGATTTTGACACTTATCAAGCCAAAAAACACATTCTGGAGAAAACAGTCCTAAAGATTTTTTTTTAACAAAAGCTAAATTCAGAAATTCCAGGAAAAGAGATAAAGTCAGACTCAACCAAACGTGAGGAGAGCATCCTGGCTTCATCTGTTCCATCAACACCAAGCAAGGCTCCAAAGGTGCTGGTACTTCAAACCAGGTGCATGTAGTCAAACTATAAGTTTTGTTTGAATAGAATTCAACTTTATTGTCATTACGTTGTAAAGTGCAAAGCAACAAAATTCACTCTCTGCATTTAACCCATGCCCTTGGGGAGCAGTGGGCTGCTATTGTGTGTCACCTGGGGAGCAGGGCAGGTTTAAGGGTCTTGCTCAGGGAGTCAGAGTGGCAGTCTGTGGGAGTGGAGCTTGAACTCAGAACCTCTGCAGAGTTTCTGCGGGTCATTAAAAGTCATTAAATTATTATTCTTTTAAAATAAGGCCTTAATTGTCATTAAAATGCATTAAATGTGATTATTGTAGCATTTAAAATTATTTTTTAAAAAAGTTTCTAAAAACTATTTTGTCTGGTTCCGTTCATAACTGGTTACACGTGTTTGAGCAGAACTGCTTCCCGAAAATGTTAATTTCAACAAAAGTGGCTGGAAAATTAGGAATTTGGGACATGGCTGCAGCCTGTCGATGGTAAAGATGGCAAAGGACTTTGCAGTGTTTTATTTATATATATATATATATATATATATATATATATATATATATATATGAGAGTCATTGGGTAATTGTTGATGGCATTAAAATTTCTAAGAGCATTAAAAAGCATTTATTTAGTTACTCATTCCTGTATAAACCACGCTCTGGGATCCAAGCACGATGCCCTAACCTCTAGGCCACCACACCCCCATTTGAGAGACCATGAGGTTAATAGATTGATTCAGAAAACAAAAGCCAAGCAAATGTCTAAACAGCCACTTCTCTTACTTGAAAATGTCATAAATTGTCATTTTTTTCCTCAAACTATTGACTTAAAAAGCAAATATAGTAATGTGCAAATCTCAGTTTATAGATTTATCTCACATTTCTATGTGATAAGTCTGTCTCTGATGAAGTCTTGAGCCAGTGGCCCCTGCAGAACCCTTTCCTTCTGTGACTACCAGTGAGCAAGGACACCTCTGGACTTTGCAGGGACTTAAGTCCCGTGAAAGTATTCTGTGAAAAACGTAAGTTATTCCCAGTTATATTTTGACAATAGAATGTTATCCTGCATCAAAAAATGAAAACCTTTCAAAGTTCATGTTGTGTAGTATTGGTAGGTGGTGACTGGACTGTGATCAGGAGTATCTAACCAAGTGAATTGAGATCCTAAATCACTCCTTCCCCTTCAGTTGTGGCCATAAATACAAAGTAAACAGAAGATAAGGTAAAACTAGAAAAATTCAAAAGTGGTTTATTGAATTTTAATCAAACACACAAGAAAACAAAAAAAGGAAGATGTGAATAACAAATACACCAGCCTGTGATTTTGCAATGCAAATTCCCTAGGCTTAAACTTAGATTTAGTCCTGCATCACATTTCTGTAATTGTCTGACTAAATGTGCACCCTTAGCCTGCCAATTGAATGTTTACAGTTTTTCTTCCATCTTATACAAAGGGATTGAGTTGGATTGGTTCACATTATAGACCTCTGAAGATATCCTATTAATATATTGTTAAGTAACACCACTATACAACTGGGGAGAACCAGCATGTTAAGGAAGGATTCATCTGGCCTTTCAGAAGCAAATTATCTTATATACAGAGTTTCTCTAATAATTCACATGAAATGTAAAACTGTAGGAAGAAAAGATGCAACAGTGTCCATCAGAAAAATAAAAGGGGAGTTCAGCTTTAGCTCTTTAAGCTAACTGCATTTTTTTCTCCCATTAAACATTCCTGCATTTAAACTGTTCAGACTGAACTCAAAACAACTGAAGTCAATGGAAGAGAAGGCTAAGCAGAAAATAAAGCAGTAATGAAAACACAGTAGAGCATATTGAGATGTTTGCAGCTCATTTGGGAAGAACTCTGAAGTGCCTGATGGGAAATTATTCACTCAGAAGGACTGTTTTCAGCAGCAGCTAGAGGTCAGGTCACCATTTAGCTTTATTACCACAACTGATCAAATTCAGGTGTTCGTTTTCTTCTAAATCAACATTATAGCATCCCTTCTGCTACATGCTGTAGCTTCCGCAAATATTGGTCGTCACATTTTTCTCATTTTAGATCATGATCATAGATCAACAATGAGAATCGGTTCCCAGAGAACCAAACATGCTACGATGTTCTCTGCCACAAAAACAATGAATGAAAATGCCATGAATATGTTTTATACACATCCAAAGAATAAACATTTATGATTTGGAAACCTTAAAAACACTGGTTGGGTTTCTCTTTAGGTGTAGGGCTTATATTTACTGTAAAGGAGTAACTGAGAAACACCATATCAAACAGAATAATAGCAGTTTGTGACATTGCAGGGTGTGGAGCAGGAAGAAAATAAAAACAGGTTGAGCTTCTAGAAGAAGAGGCTTAATCTGATAACGGGTAATATGTGATACAAGGTATCTGTATGCCACAGCAGTCCACAGCTACAAGATCTAGAACCCATATTTGGCCTGGGTCTGACGACGTGTCATCCTGTTTTCTGCCCAGCTGTTCTTCAATTCCAGCTCACGTTCCTTTGCCTGGGAAAAGAGAAAATTTAATATTTAGAGATTTTGTTTATCTCATTTCTGATTTTTTCCCTCCATTTTCCAATCAAGGACAGTTTGTGCTGTTGTGTTACATAAAACCTTAATAAAATGTCCCCAAACAGGCTAAAGAAATATCCACAGGATGAAACACTTAACACTTTGGCAATACTCTACATTAATGAGACCACATTTATTATTCTCTATGATCAAAGTTGACTACAGTTATTCTGTAAATGAAGTGTTTTCACAGACTATTTTGTCTGAGCATTTTCTAGTGCAAAAAATAAAACTTTAAAAATATCAAAATGTGAATTTGTATTAGCAAATAAAAATCTTATCAGTGCATAAAAAAAAAAATCTAAGTTGTGATGAATATTATTGAAACCATTTTAGTGTTTCAGAGGTCGCTCACCTGGTGAATGAGATACGTTATCTGATGCTTTCGCCTCTGTTGTCCTGTAGGTTGTTCTCCTCTTCTCTGCAGAAAGAATGAAGAATAAAAAAAGTTGAATTTTAAGCTTTGTTATTTCTAATGTTTTCATCTTACCTTTTGTTTTTATTAAGACTCTTAAACATTATTCAGATGATCTAACAGCTAACTAGCACATCTTGTCAGCTCATAAAAAAGATCCAGCCAGCGCTCACCTTGCTGAAGGACTGGCGGGTTTGTTTTTCCTCGGATATACTCTTGGTCATCCACTGCTGGTTCCCACTCAGCTGGTCGTCCCCCTTGATCTCCAGAAACTTTACCTCCTCCTTCCCTCGGTTTCTTTTCCCCTGCAGCCGCATAAACTGCAGAGCAGGCAGATTAAAAAGAAGTTACAGAATATGCAAATGGTGTGAATATTACAAGCTGGTTTTAGATCCAGGCTGAAGCATAAACAGAATAGAAAAACAGGAACATGTCGACAACTAACTATGCAACCGACTTCTTACCGCTTCGTCATCAAAAATGGAGGAGTTGCCAGGCTCCTCTCCTTCTGCTAACTCGGGGTTAGGATCCTGATAGAATGGCTCATTATAGCTTCCCTTTAAAAAAAAAAAAAAAAGAAGGCAGGAGCTTTCACATGAAGTTGTTGTTTTTCTTCCATAGATATAAGAATGAAGTTAGATGTACCTCAGAGAAAGCCTCTGGGCCAGCCATGGGTTGTTCATACTGATTATATTGACCTTCCCATGCATCCGTTCCCTCTGGGTTCCCCGCAAAATCCAAAGGTGCATTTGAGCGTCCTGGCTCATTGGGAGTCACATAAGGAAAGGGTTCTGCAGGGGCTGCTGGCTCAGGATCCACACTCGGGACGACAGCAGGAACAGGTTGGAAGCTGTCTTCCAGGGAAAAGTAGTTCTGAGGAGTTATGTCTTCTTCGTTATCCTGGTCATCCGTTGCTATTTGTTTGGCCACCTGCAGGGCTGCTGACTTTGCCGCGGCTTTGATGGCGGAGGGAGACGCGCTAGAACTGATCAGACCTTGAGCAGGAGTTCCAGGTTTGGGTCCTTTGGGCTCTTGCCGTTTAGTCAGCGTGTGAGGAATCAAAGGTCTCTCCATCTCCTTCACTGTGAGGTTTTTGGGTTTGGGGAGAATGGAGGACAGACCTGACCCTGCACCCTGGTGAGAGCAACAGACAAATTGGTTCACCCTGCTTCAAATGTGTCACATTTTCTAATGATACAGCAACACAGTAAAGGTGCTTTTTAGATGAATGGGTTTTATTATGACAGACCAACTCAAAGCTGGTCTGCATTTGTATTCACTTCTTTTTTTTTGCCTTTAGATTATGTCCCTACCATGTTG